GTCATCTTTTTTCTGCAATCTAAGATATAGATTATTCTTAATTGAATCAAAAAGGAGTTATACATGTTTTAAGTTTAAAATCAAGATATAGTTACCCATAGAAATACACGTCTTCAAAATGAAACACATGTATTTAATATTGCTAAAATTATATGATCCATGTTCTTAAGATACATGTAAATAAAAACAAACAAAATATCCTATTTAATGCTTTCTCTTTACAATGTTTTCAACGAACAAGAAAGAAAAAATACCAAAAAAAGTCATCAATACAATACTACTTATTTTTCTTGTGCAATTTCACATTAAACTTGAGCCCCAAATTTTCAAAGTATTTATGGTCTTGGGCTACTTGATATTTGATTTAAGTAAAAGGTAGATAACAGAGATTGGCAGTTTCGTGTTAGTGTATTTGTTTGGGTAGGTTTGCTAGTTTGCTGGTTGATTTATTGTTGGTTTTTAACTTCAATGGGTAAGAGCAAGGAAATGAAATTAAATAAAGCCTGGAGCAGCAAAAGGAATCTTATGTTCTGGTAATATTACCACCTTATATTAATATACAATATCTCCTGGGAAGCTCAAGATCCTTTCAATATTTCTTCTAATAGTAATGTGGGGCAAGTAGACAAAAGGGAAATAGAATGTCAACCTATATAATGGGAAAATTGAAAAAGGAGAAAGGTGCTTTATGGAGATCATTGTCTCTAGCTGAAACAGGACTAGGAAACAGGTATCCTTTAGCACTGGCAAAGAGTAGGCCATGTTCACACTTATATTGTTATTGTCATTTGCCTTGAAATACTCAATGTACATAAATGATAAATGTATCAATGTAAATATCTTGTGTGTAAAATAATATATTGGTTTGTTTTTCTTGGGAAACTAATTTGTACTACTTCTGATGAAAAGCAGCTCATCTCACTTAATACAAGGTGGTTATTTCATAACACTTTAAAATAAACTCTTGACCTTTAGAAATCTACTTCTTTTGGATAAAATCCCAGATGTGCATACAATTAGACCCAATGATGAATTTTTTGTGTGGCAAGATCACTAATTAAATTCCTGCACATAACCTTTTTCATCCTGAAATGTAACACTTAGTAAATTATTTCATAATTATGGAAACAATGTTTAGTATAGTTTTGAATTTTAATGAGTTTGGTTTGGGGAAACTGAAATTTAAAATTAAATTTCAATCTGAAAGAAAAGGCTTTGTACTATAGCTAAAGAGCCACCATTCAACCATGAAAACACATCCTAGTTTCCATGAGACTGCAATATATTTGCAATTTTAAAAGTCACATGGTCTCTACTTAATTTTTGTTTTTTGTTTTTTTTTTGGAAGAGGTTTAAATTTCTAAACCCACAAAAGACAGATAAGAACTTCCCAAAATAAAGAATAGCTGTTGCCTCTCTCACAGTGATTCTTTAATATTACCTCTCCAATATGTTTCTATTAGATTTATTTTCTATTTGGCTAGAACAACTTTCAATAAATTCTAAGCTCTAAGAAGTAAGAGATGGGTTGTTCTGTGTTACAGAGTGGGCCAATAAACTAAGGGACAGATGAGCTCTCTGCTGGCATTTTTTGAGATCTAGTAAAAGAGTTTTGCTTCTGAGAGACTAGGACCATTTTCATGATGGACTGGATTCACGGAATATAACACTGAAGTAGTGGGATACCACTCCTCCCTTGATCAGGGATCTAAACTAGCTTAGCAGTTTAAGAGCTGAAATGGCTGTACATGGTAAAGAGTGATGACACTGACCTTGACCTGATCCTTCAATATGTCTTATAAGCCTAGATAGACACAAAAGGCTGATGGAACTTCTATGAAGAAAAAGGACATATATGAAGTTCCATGAAAACCTGAACATGAATGGATAGAGGATGCAAGGAAAGGGATAGTGGATTTAAGGTAGTACCTTAGTGACTGATTTAAAATAAACAAACAAACAAACATGGTTTTAGAGGAAGAACAACACTGTCACAGTGAAACCTGGAGAAAATCATTGCCATAGGTACCAGTCTTATATGACAGCTCCTTTGTACTCTTAGGTACAAACTATTAAGACAATATTATATATGAAATGAAATCAATCATGTAAGACATAAAATTAAATTTTATGTACGTGTGGTGTGTTTTAAGTGATCAGAACATAAAATAGGCCACGCTGTAAATTTATTTTCTGTAAAAGTATCTGTGAAGCCCCAACATAATTCATAATTATGAAGGCTGCATTCATTTAGCCTCTATTCAAAATAGAGAGACAGGAATGTTGAAGGAGGCATCTGAAAGTAAATTCCAAGTAATGATATCAAATTTGCACATTCAGTGTGAAGTTGCCTAGCTCTTAAGTGGATCACATAGTCTGACAATGTGTTCGTTCAAGTGATTGCTCTGAGCTATGCAGAGACTTTTCTTTTCTGGGCATAGAAGTAGGAATGCACCCAGGTGTGTTTCTCTTTGCTTATTTGCATTTACTGTCTTTATAGACTTGAACATTGTTTTGGAGAGAATAAAATTAAGACAGGATTGAAAAGACTGAAGTTATCAAGGATTTCATTATACTTGGATCTATAATCATTGTCCATGGAAGCAGCCGTCAAGAAATCAACTGATGCATTGGGCAAATCTATTGCAAAAGATTTCTTTAAAGTGTTAAACAACAAAAATGTCACTTTGAGGACTAAGATTCACCTGACCCAAGTCATGGTATTTTCAGTCACCTCATATGTACATGAAAGGTGACCAATGAATAAGGAAGACCAAAGAATAATTGATGCCCTTGAATCATGGTGTCAGTGAAGAATATTCAATATACCATGGATTTCCACAAGAATGAAAAATCTGTCTTGGAGGAAGTGTAACCAGAATGCTCCTTAAAAGCGAAGATGGCAAGACTTTGTCTCCATACTTTGGGAATGTTATGAGGATTGACCAGTTTTGGGAGAAGGAATCATGTTTAAAACAGTAGTGAGTCAGTAAGAAAGCAGAAGATTCTCAATGACATGGATTAACTTGGTGGCTGAAACAATAGGTTCAAAGAGTGATAGTTTAAGTATGGCACAGGGCGGACAGTGTTTCATTCTGCTGTACATAAGGTCACTATGAGTCAGAATCATTACAACAGGACTGAATAAGAACAAGGACAGAAGTATAGAGATGGAAATTAGAAGGCTAAAATTCCTGAAAAACGTAAGAGGGCTCACGAAAAAGGCAGCTACCCTGATAAGAAAGGGAAGGTAACACTTTAAAAAGTGTTTACAGATTTCTGTTGGAAACACACTGTTCACAGATAAGAAACCAGATGGAAGGAGAAAGGCATGATAAATGCTCAGAGCTACTGGCAATGATAAAATCTACAAGGCCAATATGAACTTTTAACCTCTAGAACTGTGAGAGAATAAATCTATGTTCTGCAAAGTCACTTACTTGTAGTGTTTTTTTTTTTTTTACAGCAAAGGATAGGGTGTCATATAAATTGTACACTAAATATATATGGTAGTATGTAAATACATAGCACAAGTATACACACAGTGTATGTATAATATGTTTGAAGACTGGACAATCTATTTCTGTAGAGATACTGCCTCAGAAACCCAAGGAGGGGTTGCTATGAGTTGGAACTGACTCAATAGCAGCGAGTTTGGTTTTGGTTTTAGAATGATCATTTAATGTATAACGTATAACCATTATACATTCTGGATATATAAAATGACTGTTTTCTGATGATTTGTGTATTTGTGCCTATGCATTTATCCCTATATGCACTAAAATATCAAGTGATGTTTTCTTTGGTATTAATAAGAAGTTAAATTTCATTCTTTGTATATTCAATTTTATGCATAATTGCTGCTTAACATCATATTTCCCTGATTTTTAGTGGATATCCTATATTGTAATAAAAAGTATGTGTGTGTATACATATGTATTAGATAAATATCTTCATTACAAATTGTGCATAAAATTCATCATCATACTAGTAAAATTTATGATATTTGATTTTTACTTAATACGTGTTTGAAATAGGAAATGTAATGTAATGGGAAAAACTTTTTTAGCTAGCTTACCAGAATTTGTGCTATCCAATATATTTTCACTTTTAAAGACCAAATCTAGATGACCCTAAATTTATTCCAATGGTATTATCCTTTCCATATTTGGAACTTAATTTAGAAATTGCTTTCACAACTTTCAGGGCATTACTTTAAGTATCAAATAGGAGGTTTTTTATTTTTTTTGTCCTTTTAAGATGGAAATACAACTTTCAGAATTGGATCTGCTTGATGAAATGGGATATCTAATTAGACACAAATTTTTCTTTTACTCAAAGTTAGGTGAGCTTTAAAACTGACAATATTATTTTCTTCCTGTGCGGCTTCCAAACAGCTTTTTAAGGAACATATAATAAATAAATAAGTTTTGAAATTATTTTTAACTGAAATCAGCACAAAACTTCAAGTGATGTAAATGTGAATGTTTAAGTCCTGATAAAAGTCTTCCTTATTACTTCATAGCCACTATGAATCTTGTCTTACATGTTTGCAATTTTATTTTATTTTTTAGTCTTATTTATGATAGAACACCAACTGATCTAGAAAATACTGAAAACCAAGTTCTATTCTTAAAGTAAGAAAAAATTGGCACTCACTGTGTTTATACAGCCAAAGAGAAGGTTTAAGTTCAAGACTGAAGTTGTTTAGGCAAAATTATTGCAAGGTTATGGCTGCTTGTGTTTCCTTTCAGCCCTTTGATACCTACCATAATATTCTCAATAGCTCAGCCTGGCCTTGTTAGCCTCATTTGCATGAACAAAGCTGTGTAGTCAGCAAGGTAATTGCCTAAAGCAATCATATTATCCCAAGTGAAGGTATTTTACTTTTCCTAATGAGAAAGTGAGCTGCAATACCAATCATTAGACACATTTGAGATATGTCGTATAAATATATTAACAACATTATTCTCTAGAGCTTTTGATTTCTCAGGCAATACTTGCCTATAAATCCTGGGATACATTTGCTGAAGAAATAGCCACTTAAATATATCCTGGTTGCTCCATCTTTGCAGGGCACTGCTTTATAATCTTCAGTGTCTGGTTCACAGATGTTTCCTTCACAGCTTTGCAGATAGGTACAGTTGCAGTTGTGCAAATGGATCAGGCAGAGGCCATGAACCAATAAACTCTGGTTTTCTGAGTAGTATTTAACTTTGAGAATACAGAATCTCCTGACAAAACTGAGAATATAACTGGGTCTGAAACATGCAAAAGAAAAAAAAAAAAAAACAATTAGCCATAGTGTTTAAGTCAAATATTTGACAATAGAGAAAAGAATGTTTAATAAAGATTGTGGAGTTATTTAAATAATGGTCTTATAGACTATTAATTTTGCCTGTTAAGCAGAATGGTGGATGAAGTCAGGGTTTAGAAGTTCTTTATTCCTGTTTACCTCCTGCTGAGAATTTGCATTTCCATTCCAGATATACTTAATCACAATCTACATTTTAACGATACCCCGAGACAATTCTTATAGATCCATAAACTATATACTACTATATATCAATAACAATCACCTGGGAATCTTATTAAATGTAGATTCTGATTGACTGTAAACCTGTGGTGGAAAAGCAAATTCTCAATAGGGGGTTGAAGAGGAATTAACTGGTTCCAAGCCCTGTATGAAAAGAACTTTGTTGACAAATAAACCTACATACAAATGTCAAGCTAGGTTCTGACACTTAAATACTATGGTACCTACAGTAGTATTCTTTACTCTGCTGAGGTTAAATGGCAAAATATGTGTATATATAAATATAGACCATCTCAAGATTTTTGTGGAAATAAGCAGTAAAATTTGAAATCTAATTCCATGCCTAAGAAAACAGGTTTTCAATAAATAATGATTTATATTATGTATTAAATACATATATATATATATATATATATTTTTTTTTTCTTTGTAACATACATTGTCCTAAATGAGGATATACTATGGTTTAATAAGCCTATGGGATTACATTAAGAGAGGTACCTTCCTCTAATAAAATCATTGCTGATTTTATTACAAGTGCTTGAGTATCTGTGTCCTTCAGAAGCCTAGAATGTTAAGTGCTCTGTAGTCAGGAAAATCTGTTTTATTACCTTTGAATCCACATCACCTAATGTAGTGTCTAGCATTTGGAGAGAATGCCCCAAAAGCCTTCAATATAAGATTATTGAATACATAAATTAATTACTGAAAAACTGCTCAGAATCAATGGGGGGAGGGCAGAGATGATGAGTAGTAAGTGTAATAATCTCTGCAGTTGAAGACCTTCTGAGAATTCTTAGGAGAAAAAATTAGTCTTTTATGGAATGGTGAGACTATCTTGACATATTCTATATATATTAGATTAGTCTAAACCAACTTGCCCAACAATATAATTATTATTCTAAGATATAGTGGAATGGTGATGCCAAATAATCTTCAGAATTTTTAAAGAAAACCCTAATCTACAGAGAAAATTTAACAAGCCTTGTACAATGGTTAAGGACTCAGTTGCTAACCGAAAGGTTGATGTTTTGAACCCACCAGGCTCTGTGGAAGAAATGACCTGATGAACTGCTCTTGTAAAGAAACCCCTATGGGTTCTGTCACCCAACGGGTCACTATGGTTAAGCACTGGGCTGCTAACTGAAAGTTTGGCAGTTCAAATCCACCAGCTATTCCATGGGAAAAAGATGTGGCAGTCTGCTTTCATAAAGATTACAGCCTTGAAAACCCTATGGTGCAATTCTACACTGTCCTATAGGATCACTATGAGTTGACAGCAACTCCGCAGTAGTGTTTTTTATTTTTTTTTAATCGAAATATACTTGACAGCATACAACAGCATAATGTAGAGAAAATATAAAGCTATATTTTAAAACTTTAGATATCTATATTCTTGACTACATGAATGGAACTCAACAATGACTTTTAATTTTTTAAAATACAGATGTCAATTTGCCAATCATAATGAGACTGATTAAATATAAAATTAATTCCTAGAGTAATTTTAATTTGTAAAATATATATTTCTACCAATTTTTATATACTTTGCTCTATTGCAAGATAATTAAGAAACAGTCTGTATTTCATGTATTTAGAATACTTGTATTTGAAACATTTGCACATTCAATATTACAAATCAGGTTGTTGGCTATCTACCAAGAAAGAAAAAAAACACCACCACTTTTTTTTGAGTTAGAAATTCATGGTTTTTTAACCTGTTTTTTTATTCATTTCATACACACACACATGCATACTTGTTTATGAGATGTTATTTTAATATAATTAAACATTATATAATATACCCACATGCATTTCTTTAAATATTGCATATACACATGAATTGAGAAAGGAAACATACAGTGTGATAAAAGATCTAAATCATAGCATTATTGTTAAATCCAGAGGAAGCATATGTGATTTTCAAATATCCTTTGCCAAGCCTTCAAAGGATCCTTAAGAACAATCATGAAAACATGTGAAAGAGTTGAGAGCAATGCCATATCATTTTACTTATTATTATTAGTGAAAATTAACCTATTGAACCTAAGTTATTACACCTATAATCATGTAGGATAGCAGGAGGTTAGAGGCAGCAAGGATGTTAAAGTTCAATTAGTTCAAATCTTGAATCTGTAATTTTGAAAAATATTCATTTTATACAATTTGTCATGGGTCACTGAGATTGTTAATGCCAGGCAATACAGTCCATGCTTTGATGTCAACAAATAATTGCCCTTAAAAGGAGAGAGACTTTTATTCATATTCTTCTCTTCTAAGATATTGGTAAATAAATTTCACTGTGCCCTGATTTCCTCACCTGAATACTTTTCAGTAAAATATATTCCTTCACAGAAGAGGATTAAGTGTATTCATCACCGGAAAATAATTTCTTAACTGACCTCTCTTATCAAACCCTTTGTAAAAGAATTACCTGAAATAAAGCTATGTTGTTGTTATTGTTGTTGTGTGCCATCGAGTCGGACCAACTCATAGCGACCCCTCCTTGGGTTTCCAAGGCAGTATCACTACGGAAGTAGATTGCCCCATCTTCCTTCCGAGGAGTGGCTGGTGGGTTTGAACCGCCAGCCTTCTGGTTAGCAGTCAAGTGTCTTAGCCACTATGCTACCAGTTATTTTCTTTCAATACACCCCCCAAACAAAAACTGAAACAAAACAAAATACTAGGTAAAACTTTCGCAACTGTCACATGGCATACAGTTTTTCCCATCCCAGTTCTTTTTGAAATATATTGTTCTGTATTACTAATTAATATTGTTCTTCCACTTTCCTAAAGGTTCTTGTTATAATGGTAATTTATATGGTCTCCTAGAAATAATATCAGATTAAATCTGCAGTTGTATGCCTCAACCATACCAGTTTTAGTCATAATGGCATTTGTTGTAGAAATATAGTATTGGTAGGGATAGCATCACCTGCAAAAATTAAACACATGTCTCCATTCCAACTCTTTATACCAAAATAAATTCCTAAGCTTCATATGGGAGCTCTGGTAGCATACTGCCTAAGGCTCCTAACTGCTAACCAGAAGGCTAGCCCTTCAAACCCACCAGCCACTCCTTGGAAGGAAGGTTGGGCAATCTACTTCCGTAGTGATACTGCCTCAGAAACCCAAGGAGGGGTCACTATGAGTAGGATCTGACTTGAGGGCACATAACAACAATAGGCTTCATATGCTGGATCAAAATGCATATGTATTTCTAAATGTAATAAATTCATAGGGACCCTACAGAGGAAAGTAGGACTGCTCTATGAGATTTCAAAGCTTGTAACCTTTATTGAAGTAGATTGAGACATATTTCTCCTCTGGAGTGTCTGATGGGTTCCAGTCTCCAGCTTTTCAGTTAGCACCTGAACACTTAACCACTGTGTCACTAGGGTATTTGTGATAGAGATGACAAACTATGCAAAGATAAAGAAATACCATATGTGCTACTATTGAAAAGTATTTAAGTGAAAAAAGGAAAGGCACAGAATAGTGTGAATAGTATTCTACAGTGTCAGTTACATAGGAATAGTGATAGAAATTACTAGCTAGTGTTGTGTAACTACTTTTCAGTATGTATAGAAACATGAATGTCAAAATCAAATGACATAATAAGACAATGGCGAATTAAACTTCAATAAGAAGTATGTATATGAGTCTCATATATAGAGATAGATAACATATATGTATACACACACTAGGAAATGTATATATATGTGTATATATATATATCTATGGATAAGAGTACGATTGTGCTTACCTTTAAAAAATAAATATCAAAGTCATTTTTAGTAATATGGGTATCTTCATTGCTCTGAGTACCTTGTGTCAGCAAAAGTTTGAAAACAAATGCATAGCAAAAGACATCTTCTGAAATTTGTAATGTAACTTTAGTGAAATGTCACTTATCATTTATGTTTATATCAATCTTTGCATATAGTCTTTAACTATATACCAGACAACCTCAGAAAGACAGCATCCATTTGTACTGATGCTTTCTCAGCACTTCTTGTACAGGACAACTCTTAATTTTCTTCAAGGGAGCTATAACCGTTTGTTGTAATGAATTAGTTAAATAGAATCCATGTTTAAATTGTCTCTGCTTTTGAGATGTTAGGATGTGTTTCTTGAATTGGTCTTAATGTTGAAAGACTTGTGAAACAAATGGAGTATATTTACCTGTTTAAATAAGATTATGAGACAGTTTATATCTTTTCAGATAATATTACTATACAGGAAAACATCCTATTTATATTTCTCCTTCTCTGATATAATGGTGTTAATAGCTCCATAAACTATTATCCCAGCTTATCAGTACTCCATTGTATTCAAAATTAAAAGAATAATTGAAAGTTAACATTTCTCAAAATGAATTTTATAATAACAAAGAATGGTAATTTTAGACAGGAAATAATGAGTTTCTGGAACTTAAGAGCAGTTGATAAAACACTCTGGTATAAAATTTGGGTTCAGTTTGGGAGTAGAATTGAATCAGAGTGTTAAGCTTGTGTGTATGTTTATCTCCATATGATCAAGTTTTACTTGGTAAAGAGACAATTTTCTTTGCAATTTGTGTGGTAAATTGTGTCAGTTATCTGTTCATGGTGCTTGTCCTTAAGTCTGTAACATATAACATAATGAGAAAATTTAAATTTCATGTCTGAATCTTAAGAACAATTCTCAGTAAGATTCCTGTATTAATTTGAGTCAGTTATCACA